GAGCTAACCTGAAAACAAGTGAGCGCAGCGAACGATTTCCAACCTGAAGGTGAGTGAGCGTAGCGAACGAACTTCAACCAGGACGTGATTGAGCCATGCGAATACTTATGAAGTTAAGCGGGGCAAAGCCCGCGGGTACAGCTAGTATTCTCCATAAGAATAACATGGGAATTTTAAATTTACAATTTTTTAAATTTTCTCCGTTACTAATAATCGAACAAAAATACTTTTATATACTAAATTATTTGTTTTTTAAGCTCTTTAAAAAGGTCTAAAGAGAAATTAGGAAATTTTGGGTTTTGAGGGTCAAAAGTGAGAAAAACCAATTTTTACCCCATAAAACCCCCCGTAAAGCCCCGTTCCCATGGTCCGATCGTGCTGGTTCGCGAACTCATTCATGTTTATCCTGCTTTACACCTTTAAACCAAATTTCATCAAAATCGGACAAAAATTACTCAAGTTATCGCGTTCACGGACGTATATATATATATATATATATATATGTCTATATATATATATATACATATATAAAAATTTGAACGAATAGTGTTTTTGGCCTCTGGACACATCAAAATGAAAAAGTAAATGGGTCCCGGGTCTAGGTCTTACCGTGCCACCTACGGTAATAGCTACTTCCCTATAGGGAAATTCGCTAATATATCCAAAAAGCTACAAAAAAGCTGATGCATAGGTTTGCACTAGAGAAATTTTATAAGAATAGATACTATATACTATGAGGAAACTTATCTTAATCAAATAAAGGGTTTTTAATTACTTTCTATACCGCTAGAATGATATCGCTAAAATGTTCTACTTACTTTTAAACCCTCTTGTGCTTGGATTAATATTTATTTTATGAACTATGTTCACAATAAAGTAAACACTGGAATACAATATGTAATAAATATCCCTTACATATTCTTGGAAGCTTTCAATTGTTTACAAACTGATTAAAGGTGTTAATAAGTTCACCACAATCATTTTACAAATTATCAATTGATTCCATTGTGATTTTCCAAGTTGAAACACCTAAATAAATAACGCTGTATTGATAATAAATATTATGAAAAATGATACAGAGGTCGCGTATTAATAATTACAGAGCATTGATTGTAGCCAGTGGTGCGCACAGCTGATTGTGCCGCTCCAGTGGTGCCAACTAATGCTACTGCAGTACCAACATCACGGTACAAATACCTCTGAAGCATACTTCACCTGTATTATATTAATTCATCAAATACGCCTCCAAGTGTTTGGTCTTTGATACTACGTTATTAGCTTCCTTGTACTAACCTATTTTTCACAAACTCGTAATACGTTTCAAAATATATTTATTTTATGTTATAATAGCCTAATAGTTATTTTTAGCTCAACTTTAAATCATCCTAACAGGCAATATTTAGCAATAAAAGGGTCAAAATTACGAGTATATTTCAAAGAACTTTCTTTGTCTTGTAAGACTATGACCCTCGTGTATTAACTACTTAAAGAATGATATAGGTTTGGAGAGAAAGGGCTAATTGCCTGAGAATAGGTGTGAGAAAGGATAGGATAAGCAGGCTTACCTTAAAAAATGTAGGCATCCCACTTCATTCACTACAGAACACAGAAGAAAACACAAACAAACAAAATAAGCACTGGATATTTCGAGGCCACTGGCCCCTTTCTCAACATGGAGAGTCACATTAGATATTAAGAGTCTTTCACTGGTAAGGAAGCAGTGTTGCCAACACACTATGAATTTACAAATGAATATTTACAGGTTATGAGTCATTGATTTTATTTACACTTAGTCTAAGCCTGCTTTTTAGGTGTGGAAGGGGAAAGGAAAATGTTAGGCCTATCTGAGATTGAGGTTTGGGGGCTCCCTGGATTTGGTGAACCATTGATAAGAGAGTTCCCATCTCCTTAGTTGTGATGGGTTACAGGTGGGAGGGAAAGATCTTATTATTTTTGAATTGAAACAACTGTTTAAATCTTGCATATTGTGGCTGGTAGCATGAATAGGCACTGGTTTTTCTGGATGGTTGTTTTTTATATCTGTCCTATGATTGTTCATTCTTGTTCTAAAACTGGTGGTGGTAAGTCCAATGTATTGAGATGGGCAATGGTTGCATTGAAGTTGATATACAACATTTTTCGTGGAGCATGTATTGTGTCCTTTAATTTTGAAGGTTTCTCCTGTTGATGTGCTTGTAAATGTTGTGCTGGGCCTATTAATGTGGCAGGTTTTGCATCTTGCCATGTCACATGGAAATGAGCCTTCTATGGGTTTATCTTGGCCTTTGTTAGGTTTTGACTGTTTAGGGTGAACTAACAACTTTTTTAAATTGGCTGGTTGTCGGAATGTAGTTGTGGGAGGTTTTTCCAAGAAGTCTTTGGTGTGTGGGGATGCTCTGAGAATTTTGAAACCGTCTTTTAAAATTGTGTTTAAGGATTGGAGGCCGTGGTGGTAGGTCGTGATAAGCTGCAGGTTTTGTTGGGAGTTTCTTTTTTGAGTAGGCCTAACGTTGGTGGTTTCTGATTGAGCCAGACGGATCTGGTTTTCAACTAGATTGGCCGGATAACCTCTTTTAGTAAGGGAGTTTTTCATTCTGCTATTGAACTTTTCCAGTTCTATGTCAGAGGAACAAATTCTTTTGGCTCTCATGGCTTGGCTGTAAGGAATTGAACGTTTGGTGTTGGTAGGATGGCAGCTATTGAAGTGAAGGTATTGCAGGTGGTTGGTTGGCATGATATAAATATTCTACTTAACGTTATACAAAGTGTTTTATTGGGCCTTACTAAGACCCTATGGTTCCGTGGATTGCCGAGTGGAAAGTACTGGCTTTCACATTTGAAGGTTTTTGGTTCGTTTCCAAGTAAGATCGTTATTGTTCTACCTAAAAAAAGGCATTCCTACCTTACAAAAACCAGGATTTGTTCTTTTCCTTTACAGAATTAAAACTTACATTCTTCACTCAAATTAAATAATGAACATAACACTCATAAGACTAAGAAATCATATAAATCAGTATTTCCAATCTTATATATTAAACAAATTTGGTTTTTTTTCCGAGTTCGTTTGGCTCTTCTACCAGACCGATTTTCATGATTGAGGTCTCAAATTGAAGGTATGCACGCACAGATTTGCCATCAAGCATCGGCATATATTTATCTATAATTTCACTCGGTGCATACGTAAACGAAATTTGCTCCCCATGTGTTTCTTATGGGAGTTAAATTTTTATTTTTATTTTCCGAGTTCTTTTGGCTATTCTACCCTACCAATTTTCATGATTGAGGTCTCAAATTGAAGGTATGCGCGCCAAGTTTTCACATCGGCAAATATTTACCTAATCTATTACTCGGCCAAAACACATAATTTGATTTATTTTCTAATTGTTACTTCAATTTAAGATGTACCTTCACCAGTTATAATTTTACAATCCTATATATTTTAGTCTAAGAACCTTCAGTGAAATACTGGCTTTCGTTTAAGCTATTAGTTATTCAAATCGGACGAGTTTCAAGTAAACGCAAGGTGAACAACCAACATACAAATTATTTCTCATAAGGTTTTAACATGATTAAAAATCAACAGCTCCAGTATTGTTCATGAGTTTTCTATACGTTTTAGATTAAAAATAATTAGTTAATCATAGGCGTCAATTTGAGCTATTAATAGTTTGAATCAGTTGAGCTCAAGAAACTGTATTACTCAATCAAAAATCATAAATTTGATTATTTCTTGGATATTACATTTATTTTAACGCTGCAAAGCAGCATGGGTCCTCTAGTGTTAATATTATTGTCCACATTATTTAAACACTTTCCTTTTATGAGGGAACACAGGCAAGCAAGTATCATCTTGTCGTCAGCTGTAAGCGTTCCCGCCATTTTCCATTCGAGGTAAACACCACGTGCTTTTATTATCGATCACGTTCTATTTTCGGAAGGTGGACAGCTATTATTTGGTATCAATAATTGGAAAGTCTATATCTGTCCGACCATTGAGCTGAAACCAACCTTTTATCGCAAATAGGTGGGTTTATTTTCATCCCTTTATCGATTGCACGTAAGTTGTTCGCTTTAGGTACGAAAACGACAGTAAACTGCCTAGTTAGTGATTTAGAAATGTGTTAACCTAAAATAAATCGGTTTTAGAACAATATTTCTATATTTTTTACATAGTTAGAACTTTGTGTGGTATATTCCTTAAATTGTATTAGTTTAATTTTATCATGTATATTGTGTACTTTCTTTACTTCCCATCTCTTGTTCATAACACACTCTCTTGTACATCCACTCCTCTTGTTATCCCCCGACCCCTACATAATACATTGTGCAACTAGTGAGCAAAGTGGTAGCTTAAAACCCTCCGAAAGTAGTGTTTTATGGCCAGTTCCCCTCCCTAGAAGGCTAAGAATCAAGAAGTCTTCGCTATCCATTATATTCCACCAATCGGTCACTTTATAAACCTCAAATACCTTGTTAAAACCCAAACCTCTGTAAAGCTTGAACCGTTCTTTACCTCCTACTTCTCTTATTACCAAAGCCCCACTGGCCACTATACACCACCTCCCCTACCTACCAAACTAATCTATCCCATAAAAACCATACCAAAACCACGCCAACAACCAAAATAAACCCTTATTAACCAGACCATCTAACTATAACCCACCCCTCAAGAGCCAATGCAACAAGCTGCTAAATCGGAATAAATATCTCCTGTTCCGCAACGCACGAAGCTCCTATGGCAAAGTCTCTGCTTGGCTAAAGAAAGTTAAGACCTAGAAAAGCTCAAGTGCACTCGTCACTCACTGAAACAATACGTTCACAGACAAATGATTTTGTGAAAAATCCTATGGCTCACCAAGTCTAGGAAGGAGGGTTGTGTCGTGATCCACGTGACAGTACATAACATATTTTTGTAGGGCTTGTAACCAAACCCTACACATGTTGTGCTGTGTTCGACTTTATATATTTTGTCTACAGTTTCCGGTATTTTTGTTGTAGATAACGACATGATGTGCTAGAGGGCAGCACGGAGGGTTTGAGAAGCGCGTTGGCCCGACTGCGGCAGCGCACAAGCAACAGCCAGAACTCGCCCGACCATTCCTCAGGGATCTCCGTGAGTGTAAGTTAAAATGATCCTTACGATTTACTAAATAAAGGATTCTTATTAACTTCATTGTGTAGCCTTCAAGGTTCTGTTAATTAATGAAGATGACAAACTACTGTAAAGACTAAGAATAAGTATTTACTAAAAATCCACTATAATGAGCTATATTTTTATCTCTCTTTTAACACTATGAAACCTTGTAAGAATGCACTAATTATGATACCAAAGCCTATAAGAAATATAATGAAATTTACTTTATTTTTAGGGTGGATACATCTAATGTTTACATTTTTTCAATTCTGGTTTCATTTTAAAATCCATTAGTAAAAATGTCTTTTCCTGTACAGAGGATAGCCGTACTGCTGCAGCGGTCGGGCCAAGCCATCACCACTAAAGCACGCACAGCCCCTGGCTCCCCATGTCTGTCATACTTAGCTTCTCACCACATTTGTTGCAGGGGCTAGGGCGTCTGTCTCTGGGAGAGGTAGCTAAACAGAGGACAGCCGTACTGCTGCAGCGGTCGGGCCAAGCCATCACCACCACAGCACACTCAGCCCCTGGCTCCCCATGTCTGTCATACTTAGCTTCTCACCACATTTGTTGCAGGGGCTAGGGCGTCTGTCTCTGGGAGGGGTAGCTAAACAGAGGACAGCCGTACTGCTGCAGCGGTCGGGCCAAGCCATCACCACCACAGCACACTCAGCCCCTGGCTCTCCATGTCTGTCGGTTGGCAGCGCCGAGTCCACCACCGATCTCATCTCCACCGCCTCCAGTGCGCTTCGACGTCTACACTTCAAATCCGCGGGTGGCGGATATCGCCGCAAACCTGGATGCCCAAACTCATCCGCGCCAATGCCCAAGGTACCTCGATAATCCATACTTCTGAATGTCAGAAATACGTTAAATCTTTTAGTTATAGTGGGAGTATCACTCAGAGAATTCAACATGAAGTTCAACATAGTTGGTGATTTCTTCAATTAAGTGTTTTTATCAAAAACATGAGCAGCAATATTTTCGGGATGAGCTTACCCATTACATATCATATTGTAATCTCGAAACGCCATTAGAATTCAAAGTTCATAAAGCTATGTCGTATGTTACACTTACACATTTGCATAATTACCAGTGTCTCATTATCATGACATGTTTTTGCATTTATGTATTTAAAGAAACTAGCTTAAGAACTTTACTGAATAACCTTTACTGTACGAACACTTTCTATTTACAAACGACTCGCCAATCTGTCGTAATAATCCATAATAATTGTTTATAGGTCGTGCTGATGGGCAGTGGGTCCGTGTCCGTGGAGTCCGTCGGGACCAACTTCAACAACACGAGCACGGACTCGTCCAACACAGTGATCACCATGGTAACCGTAACCGATAGCGGGGAGACGGAAGACAGCTTTGACCATCCACCAGAGGACATGATGAGGATCACTACCAACCTGCTGGAGGACATGCTGGGTCCGTGCAACACCCCTGGGTCCTCTGTGGAGAAGGAAGACGAGTTCTTCTCAGCGTCCAGCACCGAGGAGCAGCCCAAGCCATGTGAGGAGGTCAAACTCATCTTCCAAGGAGTCGAGGAGGAAGATGATACGAACATGATACTGCTTCAGCACACCAAGATACCTGTGGAAAACACCAAGACCATCGTAGAGGAAACCTCCTTGCCCATCCTGCAGTCCACAGACCCTGCCGTGGAGTGGTACAACATCAAGATGCGCCAAGCCAACTTACCTCAGAACAAAAACAACCTATCCGCCAACAAAAGACTGAAGATGCTTTCCAAAAGGTACGCGAAGAATAACTTTGAAGATGAACCGAGGGGGAGAAAACACGGAAGAAACTCCTCAGGGTTTGCTGCAGAACAGATGACTATTGAGAGTGAAGAAGACCCTACAGCAGTTACTGCCTCACCACCAATACCTGACTCTCCCACTGCGATACAATCTGTGTACCAACCAACAAGATCACCTCCACCCAAGACTGAAACTATATTTACCTTCCCGGACATTCACGAGGAAAAAGAAAAGGAAAGAGAAAAAGATAAATCTCCGTCTGTTAGTAAAAAGCTGAAAACGGAAAAGGATGCTTCTAACGACTCGTGTAAGGCGACGCCGACTCCTACTCCGGAACCGACGATACGAGGGACTCCAGCGACCATCGTGGTGCAACAGGCTTCGGTCACCGGAAACTCTCCAGAGTTCTCTGGATCCGAGAGCATCAGTCAGGAACACTCGGAGTCCGAGAGACGACCGAGCAAGAGGATGGACAACGACTTCAAACAACTACTGGATGTCACCAACAACATCACGATACAACAGATGCACGACTCTGGGCTGAAGTAAGATATGTCTTGCTTTACAACTATATTTAGTCAGTGTAGTTTATCACAGAACTTTTTTCATGCAAGCTATTTAACTGTGATCTAACTTTGAGAGTAATTATGACATGAAAATGATACTGCTAAAAACTGCTCAGTGAAGCATATAAAAGAAAAGTGTAAGTTGAATAAAAACGCTGACAATCTGGCAGCAAACGACCCTTTTCCTTTTATTGTCCTCTGCAATTAATGTAACGTCAAACTGGGACAGAACACTCGACGGTAAAATTTTTAACTTTACGCGAATCATCTTTCATATTCCATTTTAATAATACAATGTTAACGGATATTATTAATACATGTTAGAGTAACCAATATTTCATTTTATTATACTTCATTTAGTAATATTTATTTTTTTAATGAATTAACTGTTGAATTTCTGGTTTATAAAACTGCTTGTTCTTTTAGTATTTTAAAACGACTAGTACATCTCTTCCCTCAACTTACATAGAAATCTTTGAATAATAGTAGGATTATAACTATTTATTCTTAATTCAATAGATTAGGCCTAATATATTGGTATATATTACGTTTCAAGGAATTTGTCATCCATTTTTACATCGTTTCCGTCACGTATTTTTACTTTGAAGCTACTTGTCGTGTAAACTATTATTTTGACAGTTCCTAATGTTCTACGCTTCGTAATTTACAATCCAGAGACATTAGTTTATTTACTTCTTCGTAATCAGTTTAAGTGTGACTAATTGACCAACTATCAATGTACATAGGTAGAGTCAAAATATTGCGGCGTGAAGTACACAGTGCACAAAGTGTTTTTTTGTAACTAGAACATTCATTGAATCTATCTATAAATGCATTTTTTGAGTTGATTTTTATAACTATGAAGTTTTAACCCATTTTCGTTACAGATACTGCAGCCCGCACCACAGCAGGTCCCAGTCGGTCAAGACGCCCGGGTCTCGCTCCAACATCCAACCTCCAGGCGCCTCTCGTCACCGCCCCAACTACCTGTGCCTGCCCCAGCAGCGGTCGAGGGTCGCCTCCATGCCTAACACCGGCGTCGAGGAGGAGTACTACCGCCTGAGACACTTCAGCATCACCGGCAAGGGAGTGGTCAATCGCGGGGACTCTCTAAAGAGCCGTCGGTCAAGAAGTAACAACAGCGTCGCCAGCAGCAACTCCAGTCATAGGTATGTGTGTTAACATTCTGACTGGTGAATTTTAAAAATTATGGGCTGCATTTAAATGGTTAGTTGGTGAATTGAAATCAGAGAAATCTACTTAGACCTATCTTTTCAACCGGTAACAACAATGGCTTGACTCTTTTGTGGAACCTGTAAGAATTGTGTTTGTTTTATACTGTGTTTACCTACGTTCTTAATAGCATCGTGCAGTTAACTTTGTTTGCTATTGTGTTGAAAGTGTTATTTAAAAGCAAAGCTGCTATAGCATACTACTACCAGCTTATGCTAACCGAGAAATCTGAAAAAAATTCTATTACTTTTGAACTTCCTTCAAATTAATCATTGGTGCTTAATCATGTTTTATTTATTAAATTTTTCACAAGCTGTTCGAAAAGGGTTGTAGGTTTATTGGCATGTTGCAGCTTTGGTCCGATTTTGCATTTAATTAGTGGAGTGATAAGTGACATGAAGATGAGTGAAATATTTAATTAAAAAGAGCAAAAAATAACATTTACCTAATAGAGAAACACGCCTTCTAGAAATGAATAAATTTACTAAAAAAATAAAAAAATCACAATAATCATAAATTAACAGGCGAGTAGGTATTTACGACTAATAATGACATTGTGGGTATTCGATGTTTTTCTTCATTTGACAATTCTAGATAACTTAATTACATTTAAAATGCTACTGACAACTGGAAAAGAGAAACTAGATGTGAGTTTAGTTAATCTATGTTGACTTCAAATGCTTCTAGGTAATATTCCAAATTAAACAAATATAAGGGTCTGACTTAGGGGAGGTACAAATGAGGCATTTAGTTCAAAATTCCTCCATGAACAGCGCTGTAGTAGAGAGCACTTTGGCAATGAAGGTTTACTAATCGCAAAAATAATTCTGTTCATAAAATAAAATTATAAATGCCTAAAATTCAATTTTATTATTTTTTAATTATAAAATTAAACTATCATAACCTAACCGAACTAACCAAACTTGCTGATAAAGAAATAATATAACAAAAGTTTAGTAATCGGAAAAATAATTCTGTTTATTGAATAAAACTAGAAATTGCTCAATTAAAATTTTATAATGACTTAATAATAAAATTAAACTGTAATAACCAAACTAAACCAACCAAACTTGCTGATAATAAAAAAAATCTTGGACAAAAAGTTAATGCTACCAGTGGGATTCGAACCCGGGACCTACAATATATTAGCCCGGCACGCTAACCGTTAGACCACCGAGGCCGTTGTCTATCATCCGTTTTGTTAGGGAAATGGCGTTCCCTCAGCTAATAAGAAGCCCTCAGCTGTCATCGTAGCCTCTTCTATACCTCCCCTGAGTAAATACCCAAATATAAGACGAATTTTACAGATTACATCGTATTCAATATTCATCCTCCAGTCTAACCTAAAATGTGAAAATCAAATCTCATTTTGGTAACTGCAAATTAATATAATTCTAATCAAAGTTTGAAATGTTTTTTTCCTAAATAGCAATTGATATGTAGCAACTTTTAAGTTCATTGATATTTAATTTGTAAAAAATAAATCTCTTATTCATTACTATGACACTTAACCATAACCATCAATTCTTAAATGAACCGGTAGTTACATTTAGGATTAGTAAATAAACCAGCAAACAAACGAGTATATAAACTGACTTGTCAATTTAAAAGCTTCAACCACTAACACTACTTTAATAGATGGATTGTCGGAGTTGATTGCTGAATCAATATCACTTTCAGTTGTTCGTTAGATTAAACAAAGTTAAATGGTTCGGAATTAAACCTATATCAAATGTTTGACAACACTGAATTTAATGCTATTGGTTTTTAACTCTATTGTCAGGTTCTTGTGCAGTGTTTAATCAACTAAAAATGTTCAATTAAATGTTGGTTTATGACAAAATTATTATGGCTGGTTTGTTTGTAGGTTGTATTTACATTTTTGATCCACTGATGCTTAAACATTGCAAGGATGAAACCAATACGGCTTAAATCAATCTGGGCTCTAATATAACCACTAACAATATTAAATCTTTCTCTAAAATACAAATCGAAGTTGTGGTTGAGCATTTAATACTGTGTTAACTAGCAAATGTGTTGTCTTATCCATATGGTTTTAATACTGAAAAAATCTATACTAGGTTCAAAATAAAAAGGTGTAAATCACTTTGGTCTCGGTTACATTGTCAATAGCAAAGCCTACTCTAAGATACGTTCTGTGTTATGGTCTTGGGTGCCCATAGGGGGGTGCAAGGGGTGCACTTGCACTCCCTGGTTTAAAAATAGGAAATAGATGTAATACCTAAAATGTTGAGTAATCACTTTTAATAATTATAAATTGCAAAGTGTGTTTCATAACGTTGTTTCTAAAAATGTCTTATCAATTGACGTTTAAATCAAGTTATTGACTCACAAATGTACAATTCTTATACTTTAAACAAAACAGTTCTGAAAACAAAACATCAACTTTCTTGATTGTTATATGCTTTATTCAACTGTTATTAATTTTAACACTGGCATAAAAAACTATGACTTATAATTGATGTATAATATACTATTTTTTATGGTTGCTTCTATGAGTTGCGAAATATAGCATAAAAATACAGACTATCATTTCAGAAATTTACCCCCCCCCCCCCCTTCCCCACAGATGTTCGTTGTCTATTTCACTCCCCTGATCCAAATCCTGCGGGCTCCCATGGTGGTACAGATCCAATACTGAGCACAGATCCAATAATTGGGAACCAAACCGTTGCCAATACTACAGCCTACTCTAATAATATATCATTTGAGGTTTGGTGGAGAATCAATATGGTGTAAACAAACAACTGTAGGCCTACTCTCCGTTTCGTTTTCAATACTGAAGCCTACTTTAAAACAACTGAGGCGGGTTTGAGAACTAATACGGGTTAATTCATTGATCACTGAGCAGTCTACCCTAAAATATATCAACCGCTCCAAGTTTGGGAACCAATAAAGTGTAATTTATTGTTTTCTGGACCGTTGTTAATCAATACCACCTCTAAAAATTATCATTTGATTTTGGGTCGAAAGTCCTTAGGGCTATACAAACAATAGTGTTATCTAAACTGTTCAATGGTTCCTATTCCAAAAGCAACTATGTTGGGTTTGCAAATCATTAATGTGTGAATCATTGTATTCCCTTAATCCCTGGTCGCTTGTCAATACTAATGCTTCTAAAATACACCGCCTGAGGCTTAGTTTGAAACGAATGATGTGTAAATCACTGTTCTCTGATCCATTGTCGATACTAAGGCCTACTCTAAAAATAAATGACCCAGGCTGTGGTTGAAAAATGAACGAAATTCAATAGTCAAACCTAAGCTGTTGTAAAAATTTACGCACCACAGGTACAATTCAAACAAATGTTGGGATTTCGTCTAATATTTAAGACTTTCAAGCAATTATCCTCACATACAATTTGTGCTAATTGTATGTAGACTGGTGGAATACTAGGCCTACATACAAGCATCTGCCCATAAAATATGTTTGCCTATCCCAATATCAGAGCAAAATTACTCTACAGTTGTTATAGTAGTTAATATTTTGTTCTCTGTTTTCTAATTATGTTAAAAGTGATGAATACATACGCGAATTCCATTGCATTTGTGTAGGTGACATTCAATATTGGGTTTTTATGAAAGGAAACTTAGTGTCACTGCCGCCAATCCGCCTCACTATAATTATGCTCAAATAACCGTCAGCCGAGTAAAGTTTGGGAATCAATACCTTGTAAACAAACCACTGTGTCATCTGAAACTTTGTCAGTAAAGATTACATATCAACCTCGCTAGCTTTTCTTTCTCAATTTTACAAAACTATTAGGGTTGGGTCACATAAAATGTCAAAATTGTTACCGGAATATTATTAAACATTTGCAATAATTTCTGTAACAAATAATTTGCTGTACAGTTAACGTCTCGTTCTCTAGATAAAAATTCATGGGAATAGTTTACGGGAAAATTAGTTCATACGTTTAGAATGAAAGTAGTAATATTTTCTAAGTAGCATATTATTTGGAGTGAACGAATTTTTAGTATCTTCCTTAGTTCATATGGAGATTTGAGTTCATACCAAGAAGTTCTCTGTAAAAATTGCATAACTGTCTAACTATAACGGTAGCAATTGTACGTACTAGATACCTTCCTCAAGTTCTAAAATGCATCAGGGAGGTATGATACTCATATAATATAATACTGTACATCATTAACAACTTTTTTAATTATATTTTAAAATCTCTTCAATTTTTCCTTAAAAAATGAGCTGGGAACATACCGTAACATGAGGTAATGAATTAGGCATTATAATGAATTATAATACATAAAAGCTAACCATATCGTTGTTATAAACACTATCACGCCTTGTATATCACGATGATCTTCCATTTTCATTTATGATTTATTCAGGGCCAGTAACATTTAATTTAATAATTGGTTCAATTATCTTGCAACAACTAAAATCATCGCTCCACCCTATGCTCTCAAACCAACAAAGTTATACTTCTTATTTTATACTGAAAATAAATCTAGAATCCTTCCCTATTCATCTTTTAACCTTATTCTCCCAACTTCATGATCTGTTCCGATCTAAATTTTTATTTAGAACAAAATGAACTGCACGTTCTTTTCCTGTACGTTTGTATAGTCTCTAGTTAGTAGAAGTCTATATGTGTAAAAGGTTGGAAGACTATTTTTTATATTTGTTTAGTATCAGTATGTTTTATCTATGGTATCACCAACACTCAAAAAGTACAGTCTGATCAAAAAGTAAAAATATTCCAACACTCAATTTGCTTTTTTTGGGGAGGGGGGCAGCTGGTCTAGTGTCAGAGTGCAGGACTTTAGTCCCCGAGGTCCTGGGTTCAAATCCTACCAATCACCAATGTTTTTATGTAATTCTGCCGCTATCTTCAAAGCCTAACCTTTAGTGATGATTAAAACTGTTTCGGGCTAGAGCCCACGTATTAGAATGTGAATGCGTGGCATTGAATATATTGTATTTGTTCCAGCACGGAGCACCTGACGACAGGAGGTGCTGTGGTAGGAGGCTCGTACCCCGGGTCTGCCCGCACCTCTGCTACAACCTCCCTCGCCTCGTCCAGAGAGAGCTCCTGCGCCTCCTGTCCAGGGATCACGGCACCCTTCCGCGTGGTCATGCTAGGGTCCGCAGGGGTCGGCAAGTCGTCACTCATCAGCCAGTTCATGACGTCAGAGTACCTGCACGCCTACGACACATCTATAGGTTCGTCTGTCGAAGGTGAACACACTACAAGCACCCCCTCATATACACCTGACATACATGTTATATCCATAAATAATGTTAGATACTTCTAAATTCAATCAAATTGAACATTTTTACATGCCTACTGAAGCTTTTAGACATTCTATCCCCATGTTAAATTTGTAGCCAGCTTTTTCATCAAAATCGTTGTAGTTAATGTGAGCCACCTACAGATTGTGCTGATCTAAAGTACTAAATTCTGCCGAATACACAATATTTTAACCAAGTCAAACTTAGGGAATGACTTATGATGAGTTGTAGCACCTATTATGACCCTTCAACCTGGTCACCAACAAAAATGAGGTATAAAATATAATTTTAGACACTAGCACATTCTGTGACTGGCTCACAAAACTATATTCTTTTTTAATAAAAAAAATTGGCTACAGCTGGTCCATATAGATGGGAAGTCTAAATGGTACAGGCCTACTGAAGTAGGATGTGAAATACTCTACCATTGTGATAAATTGTACTTAATTGTATTTGTTAGAATGGTGTGAAACGACAATATTCCTTCTTAATAAAATCAGCGGTAGTAAAGGAAGAATACACGTACGTTTTGATATTACTAGAAAAAAATCTGCACGTTAAATTAAAACTGAAGTATTTTAATTCGAGACAAAATTATTTGATTTGCTATGTGTGAAATATATTTTCACTAGCCTATTGAAACAGTTTTTCACCTTGCATATTTTATTGTTAACATGAAAATATAGCTTTACTATTTACTTTTTCGACTTCACAGCTACAACTTTAAGGATAGAAAAGAAGTTATAGTGTTTTGAGAAAAATTTCATATAAAATAGCTTTAAGTACAAGAAGAATTTTGTGGTTTTGCAAAAGTGTTAAGAATATACATATCATGTTTATATACAGTATATTTAACGACTCAAATTATAGGATTTATAATTTTGCAATAGACTCAGTAACAATGAATAAGTTTAAGTTGAATAAATTATGTATTGTAGAAGTGTTTTAATGCATGTTGTTTTCAGATGACGAGTATGGAGAGAAGTCAGTTTCAGTTCTGTTGGACGGTGAAGAATCTGAGCTCACCTTTATAGATCACCCTTCCTCAGAGATGTCGGTGAGTTGCATTCTTAAACACAATCATATGTGTTTCTTTGGTTGTTGATTTCGGGTCATTCAAAATCATACTTTTTGGGGGTGTATAATTAATGGTTGGGACTTAAGCAATGCTATGTTACCAAAAACGTCAGATTACTAAACTCCATATAAAATAATTTTACTTTTACCGGTATTTAGTAACGCAAACAACACCTGCTTAGGTGATTGGAACTGGTGGTTATGTTACTTGTCTTTACTGAGAATTCGCAAAAAGACACTAAAATAAGGGGGTTTAAAGGGTTATTATTAGTTTATTTATTATTAAATACGTACATCAACAGCAGAATGTACCTACAGTGTTTCAATGTAATAATCCTATTGCCAATGCAGAGTAATTTAGCGTGCTGGATCAGATGTCGGACTAGCTGAGTTATATTGTACGAGTTTTAGGAAAAAGTGTTTTAGCATTTTTATATTATTGATTCAATTTAGAAGGGAAGTTTAGTCGTTAATTTTTTTCTATGTGTTAGGGTAGTTGTTAGATTTGTACATTGCTAATTATGTATTATTCTATGTGTATTTATATTACAAACTTAACTTGGAAAATGACATTATCTCTATGCGTTGTGTTTTTCTAAGTGAATTTGTCTATATTCAAAGAAATGTATATATATTTAATTAATAGTCATGAAAATTATTATTGAAAAATGTTCTTTTGTTGTATTATGATTAGAAAATTTATGTTATAAACACACCACATGAAGAGTCCTTTTGAATTTTTATCCTAAACAGAGCAGACATAAAAATGAATTATGTAGGTATGTGATAATTATTAGAGATTATTAAAAAAACTGTATACAAAAAATTTAAACGATTATTCAAGGTAGGGTGCGGTAACCCATGAGACAAATAATTTGTACAAAATAATTATTAGAATATATTATATATATATAGGGGCTATTGCCCCTACAAGCCCCTAGTTCTATGTGTATTTATATTACAAACTTAACTATGTACTCAAAATATTTTAAATTTGTATTCGCAGGTATGTCCTTTTTAAAACAAATAAAAGTGTTTAGAACCAAACAGACATATAAAATAAACATAAAAGATACTGAAAAATTTTAATATAATATGTATTTTAATGTCGTCTATTCTTTTTCTTGTTCGTTTAGAAAAAAGTGAACAATAAATAATTGTAATGCTAAAATACAAATTGTGTAATCTTATAACCAACCTTTCCGATTTTAAAAATAAAAACGAAGTTATAGTAGTACCAAACTACACTATAACAACATCAATCTACCCTTCAGAAAAATAACATTTTATATACCTTCGTTACTTATTTTAAGTATGCATAAAATGAACGATTTTATACATATACACTTTCAAATTTATAAAATTACATTTTGAAAACTGTTTAAACATTACGAGTTTCAAGGGTGTTTTAACAAACTTTCATATCCGAAATGTCGCCAGTATATATTATATAAGACACCTGCGTTTTGCATGAATGTCGTTCTTAAGAACAAAGACCCCCCGGAGAAGGACCCAATTTCCTCTGCAAAATGGAACTGTAATACTTTACTGTTGGAGGAGAATACGGTATGGCTTAGCTTGATAAAACTGGAAATTTATTAGGAGATTTAAACCAGTATCATTCTAAATTAATCAACGGACAGGCTACAATGTCACGTAGGAACTCCCGAAGTTGTAGAAAAACTAATAGTTTGCTATAACTCTAACCCATGTATTGCATCAACAAATATACATTCAATCGTCTTTGATATTGTAAATTCATTTGTAATTTTGTTAACGTGACATAATTTATCAGTTAAAAGGTTTCATTACAGTCAAGCATTTACTAAGATTTCAGTTTATCTCAGTGATAAATCTATTGACAAAAGAGACTTGTACACAATAAAAGAATCTTTTCAGTGAGGTTTTGACTAATATCGTGGTAAGAATCTTGCTTGGATTAAAAGGAATATGGTTGTTATCTGGTACATGCGGGCGGGATTAATTCTGGACCCTAGTCATTGGCCTATCGATTAATTATCCTATCCAACAAAATATTAACTAGCAGAAATTGTTGTGTTCCCTTACAAAGATACACAAAAATACCCAATGGTGTAAAAGCGCACTAAATTACTAATATTCTGTATATAATTTAATAAAGTGTATCATTACTTACAAAATATCAAAAACACATTCTATTTTCGTTAAAAATGGTGTGTTACTTTTACTTTAGTTTGTTACAGCAAATTAGATTTTTTCTTTAAAATTCTTCAGACAGATGTGTTCCTCTCCCCTTCCTATCACACCCCTTACTAACTTACTAACCTCGTCGTCCCTCGCAGTTAGGGAGCAACGCGGACGTGACCAAACTTGAAAGAGAAGAACAGCCACAAGTTGAATTGAGGTGACATTTCTATATGAAACATGTTTCCAAAAGGTCCTGGGGTATACTGTTATACGAATTGCAACATTTTTATTTAACATTTTTTTATCAAGATTTTCAGGTAATGAGGCTTACAGGTTTTAGGTTAAACTCTCTGTGTGTGTAACGCAAAACTCATTGAGCTTACATTTAGCTACACTTTTTCTCGGTACATATTTGATAGAGGGTGGAATACACTTGCACATAAAACGGACACAAATTTTTAGAGATGTTATGCTTTATATATATTCCAGCAGCGTATTCATAGGATAAAACTTTCTGACCAGATAAAAGACACATTTTTGCTTCGAACAGTCTATGTATGGCAGTTCAAGTTTACGTGACGATTTCACTAAACAAATAGTAATTGCCGAAAATAACCTTCTTTCCTTAAGGTTGTCAAGACTTATTTTCATCCATACACTGATCGAACGGCTAACCACGTCTCTCATTAAATATAACCAATTAATTGTTAGCCTGGGTAGATGGTATGTAATATGAGGAGTATCTAAAACAGAATGCAATGACATATTTCGAGTTCATAAACTATAAAGTAGGCTTCTATGGTCTAAGTAAACTTTTAATGACCGAGTCAACTAACTGGTGAAAAGACTAACCGACGTTTCGGGTGCGTTGTAGCAATTCATCTTTGGGTCAAACTACAATCCAAACAACTTGATTAACTAACATAACCAATACGTTATCTTGAGTTCAGCTATCTTCCTGTTCACTATTCCGCTGACCAGTTTCAAGGTTTTTTTGGTTGTTTCAGCCCGAGGACTGCCTGTCCAATTACACCTCACCTCACGCCTACTGTGTCGTCTACTCCACAGCTGACCGTGGCAGCTTCCAACAGGCAGAACAGATGCTGCAGACCCTGTGGAAGAACGACGCCATCAGGACCAAGGCTGTGATTCTGGTCGCAAACAAGACGGATCTTGTACGCAGCCGTGTCGTCTCCACGCAAGGTGAATTATAAAGGATGTTGTCAAAATTCAGTACATGTATTAAGTTTTACTGTAGAAACTTACTGAACGTTATGTACAAACAATTGAGTTAATTAAAACTTATCAGGCCTAGAACACTATCGAGGCAAAGGAAATTTACTTACTAAACCTGACATTATCGTACCTATCATTCATCAACCATATGAGGCCTGCAACTTAACCAAACCGTTTGGTTGGTATAAGCATGGTTTTTGCATATGAACATGACTTGTTTAGGCTAAATTCTGAGGTCTTCAAGAACGAATTAGTTTGCCAGAACCTTGTAAGAAGTTTGCCCCTTTTTAAGAATACGAATTGTAATAGATACTTTGTTGGTAATCTCGTTAGTAAACCAAGCAAGCTGGCAAGCTGGTTCAATATTGCTGGGTTTCTTCTCTCTTACGGTTCGGGTTCAACTCTCGACAACCATCTATGTATGACTTTCATGTTAACACATAAACTTCAAGGCTTTTGGGCAAGGAGAACTGTCTCGAAATTTTGTAATCTTCCTCCCCGAAAAGGTCATATGATAATCATTAACTTTTATCGAAAGTGCAGGGTACCTTTATCAAAGTATTACTATACTCTTATATGAAGTTTTCCCTTTCTTTTAAGCTGATAAAACATATTTGGTTTAACTTTAGTGTTTTCAAAAAAATACTCCGGACAAATGTCGATGCTATAGCCTAATTAAATTTAGTTCGCACTTAATGAAACTGATTTGTAACAAGTGCGATATGTTCACTGGAGCTTGAGGCTGTGTTAGGAGAATGTTTCCCGGAGAAGTCTCAACTCCTCTACTAATTACATGATTAACGATCCCTCTCTTCCCTCTTACGACATGCTCTTTACACATCGGATTCAGACGATGCTTCAGTATTATTGTGAGTCGTGTAAATAAAGTACATGAATTATTAAGTCTACATGAATGTTTATTGAATATACACTGATCCATTTATAGGTCGGCGACCAATCTCGGAATGATAAAAATATTCCCAAATCAATAAATAATTTTAAAGAAAAATTTAACTTAGCGTCAATTTCGTAAGCAGATTCTGCTACCAAGGCTACATGCCATTTTATTATTACGTGTACAAATTGCTTTGAAAGATGCAATTTTAAATGCTATTTTTGATAATATAATTGCTCATTGAAAATTTGTGATAAATTATGTGTTATCCTAAAGTTATTTGTGATCAAACTATCCCAAATGGGGTATTTCCTGAAGAAATGTGCCTGGTTTTGAAAACGGAAATCATCTGGTACATGTACCTGTATGTATAACAGTTTTCGGTTCAGCCTAACACATGTATGAAATACCTGGAACCTGTTTGAAGCGTTGATTTTAACACGTTCGCTACCACAATTATATGGAATTTACGTTCGCATAGACCAGTGACGCAATTGTGCGTCGACTCGTTTCTCACAATAGACCACCGACGCATATTTGCGTCAGCTGGTCACATTGAAATATACTAACGACGCACAGTTGCGTCGGTGTTCAATGTTATTAATCAGCGTATTTCTTAGCAACGGTCTATTTAAATCCCCTGATTTTATCGTATCGGTCTAGAGGGATATCTGCCGCAAATGTGAGTCGCTTGGTCTGTGGATATGACGATTGGTTACGTCACACAACAGTTCGCAACATTGTTGTTTACATTGTGTATTCCGCGACATCACAGAAACAGATGTAAACGTTATAACCTTAGCAGTTTTACTAGTGTTTAGTGGAGTTTCTTTATTTGTTTGTGTAAAAGCTTGAAACAATAAAATTTACAACGACGCTTACGTGCGTCGCCTGGTCTATTGAAACGAAAATGTAATCTTTTTAACTGGATTTCGTTAAATAGACAGACCGACGCGTATATGCGGCGTTTTAAAATTTTCTCAAAACGATAAATAAAAACAATATTTATTGCTTACTAATTCACTTAAGGTTAATATGAAGTCAATTAGTCCATTTAAACAATATTTCTCTTTTGGTCTGTCAGCAATGTTATTCCTATATCACTTGGTCTGTAAGCAACGTCATGATCATTCCTTTTGGTCTGTAGGATTGACCGGACTGACGCAAATGTGCGTCGCTCGGTAGTGAACGTGTTAAAAGCGTCTAATGACGTGAATCCGAAGAATCAATTGCGTCGTAGTTTGATTGAATGGCAAACTACAAACTACTTAATCGTTTTAGATCCGGAAGGAATGAAAATTCTGTTTTTAAAGAGCTAGAACTTAAGAGGTGGTTTATCCTAAAAACCTTTTTTCCTGATAACTATTCCATTGCATCAGTTTATTTTCCAGATGGGAAGCTGATGGCGACAGCTTACGACTGTAAGTTTATCGAGACCTCGGTCGGCATCAATCACAACGTGGACGAACTCCTGGTCGGGATTCTAACACAGATCCGTCTCAAGCTGGACAACCCTCCGGAGACTCACTACGCGAGGCGAAGGAGTCGCTCCCCCATGAGTGGCGGCCCTGGGTTCAGGAAGTACCGGGGTCAACGAACCTCAGCCTCGCTCAAGGTCAAGGGGTTGCTCAGCAAAGTGTGGGCGAGGGACTCGAAGAGCAAGAGCTGCGAAAACCTACACGTTTTGTAGGGGTTGAAGCTAAAGCCAGAAAATACCTTGGTGGTAGGACTTTCAAAACGTCATCAAACAAATAGAGCGATGCTGTTGAAGGTCCCTCAACAAAACCATAGCTGAGCGAATATTGTATTTAATCGTTTTCATTTTTCAAATGGGCTACTCAAAAGTTGCATCAAATAGTTAAAGGTATACAAATACTAGAGGTTGTATTTGTTGTCCACATCCTCCACTTTATATTTTTTTTATCGATAATCTACTGTATTACTTATAATAACTACCTAACACCATTATTTAGCCCCGATCAGTCATTCTAGTTCTTTTACCTAATAAGTTCAGACATAAAAACTGCTCTATTACTAAATTGCATGTACTAACCTTTACAAAAGATGTCTATTATGAATATTACAAAGTATATCTTTAAATAAATTTTAGTTGTGAGTTTTAAGAAGTTGGGCTTTTTTATGCATTTTACAAAAAATTTTTCAAACTTTTTTCATTAAAATGTAATCCACAAAAAAAACAAAATATCAACTTTGCATGTTTTATATTGCAGCTCAGTATTTTCAACAATGCAAAGTTAGGCATTCACACGTATGAACATTGGGAACATCAATAACCGACTCAACGTAGCAAGGTACCGAAGCAATACACTATTAATTATTTGCACTCACTCTCAGCTGACACGGACCATTATTTTAACTCAAAGCGGGTTATTAATCAGCTGTTTACAATAGCGGTGACGTTCACAGGTGAGGGATTTTCACTTTAACATCCATTACACACGCTGTGTGGCCTGCGTCGTGTTTTTCAAGTTTCACTAAATGACTTTGCAATAACCTGGTGCTATTACGACACAACATTTTGTATCGTAAAAGTGAATATCAAGTCACAATGTGTATAGTTAACTGAATTCCGAGTCACATATTGTACAGTATAACTGAATGAGTCACATTTTGTACAGTAAACTGAATATCGAGTCACATTTCGCATAGTACTGAATATCGGGTCGAAAGATCCACGGATAGGGTGTAAATATTAGATCAGCGGTGCAAGCTTTATCTAGCATTGAGCCCCTTTAGGACGATTCAGAACATATTTGACACATTTTACCAATATGAGGCACGAAGTCGTAGCCAATCATCGTGTTTTAGGAACATGCACTGATTAAACTGAAGTACACAAGTGCTACATGTGTGCGGTTTTGGAAAATATAAGTCAGTTCCTAACGTCAGCAACTGTTGATTTTTCCTACATCGATTCCAGATTAAGTGCCAATTTGACAAAAGCTTCTGTTTTTTGTTTTGCTTTTGTTTTTGTTTTTTGTTTTTTTTTTTCCATTTGCCAGTAAGCTGACCTGCAATAATCTCTTTAAGTAGAAAGTTGTTGATTTTCAGTTAATGTTTTCTGGTGCCCTTTTCTGGATTTATTCCTTGCACCCAGACTTATCTTATCTTATACTTATCATATATTATAAAAACGGGTGGAAAGTTACCTCTTTATGTATGTGGATTTTATTTCACCAGTGATCCAAAGAGAGACACAAGTTCACTATGACGGTCGATTAAAACAGTGCATGTTCCTAGAACTTGTCCAAAGTAAATCTCCTAGAGAGTTTATTAAAATTGAATGATGAGGGAGTAGTGTTAAATAGTTTTATTGTCTTGTTTGTTATGACTGCAGTTAATTATAGATTACATTAGTTTAGGTAAGATTATGTTATAACTTAATTCTGTACCAAAATAGCTTAACTTTCTCTTTTATTGGTAGACTAAAAGAATATAACTTGATATATTAACTGCCGAATCAGTTAGCTTAGTAATCTGACCACTTGTAAAAACTATATTTCAGGTTCAATTACAGTAGTATAGTGAAATAAAATACTAAAAGTGTTTATGTAAGCAAAGAGAGTAGAACTTTAGATCAATTCTTTTTCCAATTATTAAATGTGTGGTATGAGATAAGTGTTTCATTTTAGAAAGATTTTCCATTTTTTTTTAGAAATCGGAAGAAGTATACACGATACTAGCTGAGTTCATCCGCTTTCAATTTGATCTTATAGCATCAAAAATAAGAATTAACTATGCTACAAACCATATTAATTTTAAAGGCTATCCTCAGCGCATACATTATTCCATATTAAATACTACATTTCTAAATTAACTGGTACATTACTAAGGGGTGGACATACAGGGTGAATAAAAAGTCAAGACCCCCCATCTAATATTTTTCCAAGTAAATATACAGAGATATCCTTTTGGTGATCGTGCAATCTTAGCAGGAAGTTTCATTTAATGATTTTGAAATTTTTGAGTGTCCCCCCAAAAAGGGGGATTTGGGGGGCAACTCAAATATTTTAAATGTAAACCCCCTGCAAGTGACACCTCATTTTGAAGGGTATACAAAAGATCTCTTCTCTATCCAAAATGGTAGCCCATCAAATGTTGTGGAAAATCAATGGTAAAATTGGGTCGTAATGGTAATATTGGCTACCATTTTGGATAGAGAAGAGATAGCGAACTCTGGTTTCCACCGTTCTTTAGGTTTTTGTAAACACTTCAAAATAAGGTGTCACTTGCAGGGGGTTTACATTTAAAATATTTGAGTTGCCCTCCAAATCCCCCTTTTTGGGGGGACACTCAACAATTTCAAAATCATTAAATGAAACTTCCTGCTAAGATTGCACCACCACCAAAAGGATATCTCTGTATATTTACTTGGAAAAATATTAGATGGGGGGGGTCTTGACTTTTTATTCACCCTGTATATACTTTCAATCAAAATCCACAAGGAAAATATAGCAGTATCATAAATTAATATCATTATAATAATAGTTTTGTAAGGTTTAAATATTTGAACACATTTAACTTGGATCTATAAATGATACAAATAAATTCATGAAAAATTGTTTGTATATTAAGAGGTGGACTTCAATCCAAGGCTGACTGTTTGATAGCTTCCGCTGTTTGACTATGTTTCGGCCAGATGTTTCAGAGTCCTCCTTAATCAATCAAAACTATACCAGGACGCCAGACAAAACAATAATATTTTGAACGATGGAAACTAAATGTTTACTAAATATCGCTCTGCAAAAATAGTAGTTTTTTGATGGATAACCAAGCAATTCGTGTAAACTTCTTCCCCTTGGTTCGCACATAGAGGTAATCGCAACAGTAACTCCAATTTACGCTAAATCCACCGTGCCTTTAGAATGTCGCTTTTAGATTTATTAGTGATCGTATGTACGTTTGAATCGTTCTATAGGGAGAGTTATCCTCAATGTACACTCATTGTAGTATTGTGTGTACAGATTATGTGTTTAAGCGTTTTGTGAAGTGTGCAAGATGTATGTATTGTTTATGTTCTCAGGCTGCTGTTGGGAACACAATCCTTACTTATTGGTTACAAGGATAGTATCACTTGATTGTGGAAATAATAAAATACAATTGATTTCTCTAAACGCAATTTTCCAATTAATTCCTCAGATTGAACTAACAAAAGAATTAAAGTTTTTAGGTCGTTGTCCCCATCAATTATTTCATCGAATGAATTACGATAACATTTACAATAACAATGTCACACTAATAAATAATGTTTACAAGGAGTATATTTCATATAAGGTATTGAAGGTATTTATTTTTATTTTGAATTACGAAATTTTTTACTCTAGAATTTTTTATTGGTACAGAATTGACTAACATATGAAAATCGTTCAAAAACTAGAAATCATAAAAGATATTTTTGAGGACGTGTGAATTGCAGTAGTATTGATTTTAATATTCCTTGTGTTAATTTATATGAACGTTTTGATGTTTACAACTAGTAACCAATGATTGTATTATACAACTGAGTGAAGGCATGTTTACGTACACTAAGCTACTGACCGATAGAGCAAAGTAATCGTGAAATTGATATTACTGGACATGTCTTCATTCAATAGTGTACTATAGTAATCGTTCAGTGTATAACGTAAGAATCGCTGAAGTACTGAATGTAATAAATACTAGATGGTTTTCATTAGATTCGTAGCCGATTATATTGCTGCACATATAGAATTGATGCTCTGAAATATCGACCTGGACGCATGCTCTCATGTACCTTAGATATACAAAGCACTAGATGGGATTTGTTTAATGTGCCTTTTGTAATCCAAACCTTGAGTTCGACCAACGTTCAAGGGCGTCAACCATCCAATGTAAATTTGTATCGATGTAAATTACACCCATCAAATTCAACGGTGCAAAGTAGCTCTTTTAGTGCAATTTGCTATGTTTTATACACTGTAAGAAAACAATGTGAGTGGGGTTTACTTTTGGAACAGAAAATAAATACAAATAAAATTCAGATTTTTTAATGTGAAAGTAGTATATAGTTTGCCTTTTCGTACCCAGTAGTTTTGTTGGGGTCCTTTGCACCTTAATAATTAGTAGTTGGAGATAAATATAACGATTATGACCAATCTTGTAATCAATGTAGTTTACTATGTTTGGTGTCATATCAGTATTTATAAAATATATTTGTGGAAATTTTGATAAATTTACCTACTCCAAATATTGATTGTTGGGACAATCATTGTCTATCTTAAATGTAATAATTTGTGTAGATATTTACATAGTGGTCTAGACACACGGTGTTTTAAATAATTGAGTAAATTAATAATACTGCTAATATGTAGCCCGAAAAAATGTTTACACGCTGAAGCATGCTTTAGAACTTATACTCTAAATATATTAAAACAATAAATTGAAATCCTTACACATTTATTACTGTCATAATAAAGCAGATAACACGTGTGTCTAGATTATTAGTTAAATGTAGTGAAGAAAATATCTAATTATGAAATGTATATCATACAAGAGCACATACGATGATAATACAAAAGTTTCGGGAATGGAAAAATAATACAATCGCACATTTATTGCTTTATGAATTTCCGAATTCTAACGTTCAGCATTAACATGAATATATTGTAAACAAATTAATTTTTATCGAGATATTTTCTTAACTGCTAAAGC